CGTTAATGGATTCTTGTCTGTTGACTGAGTATTAATCCGAAGTAGGCGGTAATTGTGACCGAATCCATATGGTGCGTGACTAATTGTCGCAATTACGGCGTTATGATTTTCAACAGATTGGCGTGTATAAATTAAGCAACTGTGCCCGCGTTTTACTAGAAATTGATGGTATGGCACCTGCAAACGTGTTTTTCTATTTCGGTGTCACAATGATGATTTTGTACAACTGTTTTCGGCCTAAAACAGTTGTACAAAGACAGTGATTATAGTCGTTTTCTGTGGTAACTCATCTCTTAAGTTGGCAGTTACTAGTTAGTACAAGTAGGTACTTCGTTGGGTACTTCCATGTTTGAACTTCAAAATGTCAGTCTTACTACGCTGCCAACCTAAAACTTAACGGAATAAAAAGTGTTCCCAACATAAAACATGTTAGTTCTAATGTTCCCTATAGTTTCTGATAATGATTTTTTTAATTAAATTAAAGCACCGAAATAGAAAAAATAGTATGAAAACGCGTGTTACAATGCTTTATTGTAATACTTCTATCTTGCGGACACTCGTGGCTACGCTTCGCGTCGCCACTCGTGCCACAAGATAGTCGTATTACAATAGGTCGCATTGTAACACTTGTCTTTCAATATACTATTATGCAGATTGCAGACCACCTTTCAAATGTACAATAAGAAAGTGCGTTTACAGTTTTTTCTTTGATCTACCGGCCAAACTAAATTAGAAATTGACCTTTTCTGGTCAACTTTATTTTCAATCGACTACTTTTTCGTTTTCATATACTTCGGATGTTCTGATTCAGATTTTTCAAAATTTCATTAAATCGTCCGTAGTTTGCACTTTCAGATCCGTCGCATCCCGTTCTCTAATTTTTTAGATTTTTCAGTTTCTTCAAATTTTCTGATTTGTCTGAACATCAGATTCTTAAGCTCTTCTGGGTTATTAGGTACGTTTCTTGTTTTTTCACATTTTTCTGGTCTTCCATTTCATCGAATTACTTTCAGTTTTCTATTGTTCAAACTTTTTCAGTTCATAAGGTTCTTTGGATTCCGGATTCTTTAAATTTTTTTATTTTTATATTTCCGTTACTTGGGAGTGATTTTCCAATTCTTCTAATTTTTCGGTTTCTTCTCTTCAGATTCACGTTCGACTTCATTTAATTCGTCGGATTGGAATTTTCAATTATGCTGCCGGTTCAAGATTTTGTTCAAGGGTGCTTGGGATGATTATAATTCTTGAAACCTATGAGAACTGCTTTTTTTTCGAATTCTTTTATTATTTAAATTCTTCGAATCAGATTTCTAATATTCTTCCGAAAGTTAAATTCATCTGATCTGATATTTTCCAGTTTTGTCAAATTGTTGCGACTTTTCTGATTCTACAGAATTTCACGCGTAGGTACCTGTAAAAACTGCTTCTTTAAACCATAGAAAAAAAGCATTTGTGAAAAAAGAAAAGAATGAGGTTTGAACAGAGGTAAAAACTCATTTACTGATGGTGCTTCATATGACTTTGTAAAAAAGGTGACTGGTGGAGGGTTTGTTTACCAAAATTGGAACTTAGTGCACACATAATTCCAAAACGAGCACATTTGGTGCTTGTCACTTGGAAATTTTGGTACATATTCGCTGAGTCATAATCTCAAACAGAAATTTTGTATCTCCGTTAAAATTAACGTGTAAAAGTTGGGGGTGGCCTCAGAAATTAGCATAAAACGAGCACAGTGCAGATCAGAGAGCTCTTACTCTTGGCGTTAAGTTGCAAATAAATCAACACAACACGAACACGGAACACAATTCAAATGCAAACCTTTGGTAGCCGTCAGAAGCATTAACTTGTAACTCCAAATCAAAATTCTGCACAGAAACTTTGAAACTGGTGCACAAACTGAGCACAATTCACAATGTAGATTTGAATTTGATTGTTAAACAAGAATTAACTTTAACTCCAATTAGTAGTGTGCCAAGGACCTTTTGGTTTTTGTATTTTTAATCCATATCTTTAGAGAATTTAGGGAAAAAGGAAGGCATATTTTGGAACAGTCTTTAACCATAAGCCCATGTAAGCCTTATTTTGGCCCGCTCTACTGTTTAACATACTGTGTACATCAGAATCCCTTACTTTATTGAATGATTGGCTCCTTCTGTTAAAATTTCGTTTTTATAAGAAGCGCCTTCGGTGGAAAAAGGGGTTCACGCATGCGAAAATCTATATTTTGACACGTGATTTCATTTTGCTTTTATAAGAGGTATCTTCTTCTGAAATTTCAGGATAATTGGGTCGTAAATAAATAAAGGAAGTCTGTCGATCCGTAATAATTTGACCGCGCCATTTAGTCTGCGTATGCGCAGTCTATTTTTTGATGTACATACGTTTAATTTATTTCATAAAAGAACCCCACATAAATACATAAGTTGGGTCTGCGCATGCGCGATCCATTTTTTTACAGTGCACATAATAAACAATGACACAAAGGGTTAACCGTGCTGACTTACAGAGCCAAATTTTTCAACGCATTAACAGTTTCCTCAATCAAATTTTGGGTGTCTTTGATCCAAAATGATCGTTTTAAAGTAGAGCACGGTTCATGTTTAAGTTTTAGCTAATCAAAAATCAAAACGCAACAAACTTATAAAATTTATAACAATAAACGGCAAAAGTGTAAAATTATGAGAAGGGAAAATAAATTTTTGCTATAACTGTTTTTGTAAGAGATTAATAATTTAAATCTGAAAATTTGCATAGATACCAACATAGTTTTTCATGAGCTATCGAAAGAAAATATCATGATGTGGATAGCAACGTTCTTATTTAAATAGAACACCCTATATTTTATTGCACTTTCGAAATCTACATGAAAATCTACGTCGATTGATACCACATTTCCCTATATCTAGCAGCAAAGGTTTTCAAGTTATTCAGGATTGTTCAAAATTTTTGACGTTTGACTGCTTTTCTTTAGCACCCTGTATCCATGGCTCCGTTGACTTGAAATTCAAAAAGTCTTCCAAAATCAACAATACTGACGTGATCCTACATGCGAATAATTTAAAATTTGATCGTCCTTCTACAGGGTGGTCTAAATTAATGGTCAAGTGTAATAACTTCGGCCCTTAAAAAGTTGAGATTTTCAAATGAAACCTGATTTATTATTTTGCACTTTCAAATGTGAAAAAAAAATTCTACATCCATCACATACGCATGCCCTATACCTATCTGTAGTGGTATTAGTTTTATTTAAAGTTCTCTAAAATGCATAATTTTCTCACAATGTGAAAAATCGGACCTAATTCCAATTAATTCGAATTACGTACCCCATTAATAAATGGGTTTCAGATTACGAGATAGGTAATTAAATTAACACAAATGGCATAGCCTAAAAAGAAACGTGATAACGAATAGCACATTTTTTTAATTTTTGTGGAAATGCGGTAAAAAGGCAAAAGCATCGAAAATGGCCAACCCGCAGGAATGAAATTTGAATAATTACGAGCCTAATAAAAAGTATGTGAAGTGTCGTTAGTGGGAATCTGCGTTATCTTAAAAGATATAATTATTATATAGGGTTGAAATTACTAAATTTAGTCTTAAAAATAGGAACACTTTAAAATAAGTGTTTTTAGGAATGAACCGCATTTCTCTAACCTTTTATTTGTCGTGGAATGAGGGATGACATTTTATTAGAATAGTTTTTAGGTGGAAATTGAACGGGATACTATTTTTAGTTTATAATTTTCAATTTTACGACCGGATTTTTCAGACGAAGTTGGTACCGATTTACCACAAAATATAGTCACCTATTTTGTTTTGAGTAAAGTGCCTAATTCTGTAATTTTAAAAAGGATGTCGTGTATATAAGAAAGACTGCTGTAAACTTTGCATATTAAACAGGGAGTTACTGATTATTAAAGTAAAACAAAAACGACATTAAGAGTTCTATTTAATACACTATTTAAACTTGAAAACTAATCACTCAGCATTTGAAGAATTACTTTAAATCGTTGTCCAAAAACCGAAAACATGATGAACAGTAAATTCATAGATTAAAACGAAGGGATCATAATATTCGTAATATAAGGACAGTTTCTACAAAAACAAACAATTTCCAACATATTGTCACAACGTCCCAAAATAACACAATAAATTAAGCGCTTGCATTTAGCGTCCAGAAACCCTTTTAATCCTTCTTTTTCAGATAACTTAATTACATCCCCAGACATTTTTTACTTAGGCACTTACAGATTTGTTGGTATATACCTATGTTTCTATAATTAAGTAGCTTGTGTAATTTTATTATTCCACCATATAGATTAAAAAAGAAAGAAACATCGAAGTTCCCAAAAAAATCCATAAAAAAATATGCAAATAATCGCAGAATTTTTTCATCGCCATTTTCCACAAAATCATGTTTTCGAATAGCTTTCAGCAGTATTTGATTGCAGATAATTATGGAAACTGACGATGGGTCGTTAATTTGTTCTACACTAAGACTCAACTGTTGAGTTCATCTAAACAAATAAACAATCATAAAAGGGAGTAATTTTAAAATGGGTAGTGTCGCATAGTTGTAGGACGAGAGATGAAATCCGCGCGAACCCAACTACTTAACATTATTGGCAACATTTATAAAACACCTATTACATAAACCTGGTTGTTTAATGTCTGGGAAGATTGAGTGAGTTCCGGAATGTCCAATTCCGATGTTTGCCAAAATTTGCGTAAACATTTGCGAACGACGCCTGCACGTCAGGTGAATCCCCATTTATCCATTCAATATTCGACCAAAGATTTTTCCACAGTGAACGGTTTTTTTTTAAATTCGAATCACACCTTTTTTTAATACAGTCAGACTTGAACTATGCCAAAGCGTTATTAATAGACAAACGTGCACTCGGTTTGATTTATAAAAGCGTCTGTTTAATTTCAGAGCTAAAAGCAGATTTTCGGTAATCGAAATTTCGCCGATTGAATTTGGGAAAAATTCCACCTACCTTGTGACTTGTTGACTTCTATACGCGGGGTTGAATTACAGATGGGGGAATAAACAGTTCTCAAACTTCATTGCGGTGTAGAGCTTTAATTCATGTTTGTAAACTAAACGCACTGCAGCAAGTGTTTGAATTTTCGTCAAACACGTTTGGCATATTTCGATAAGTTCGAGGCTGAGAGTGATAAGAGAAAAGTTGCACTAAGTTTAAATTTAAAAATGTTCAAATGTTGCAATAACACAAGTTGCGCATTAACAAAGAACTACGCTATGGTGAGGTTTGCACTAGGTCTACTTGCTCGCGTTGCTTGGGGAAAACTGAGGTATGGGGCGGCTCCCGACTTTCCACGTATTGATCTGATGCGATGCCATCCCTTGTTCCGTTTCTACATCATCGTATACAGGGGCATTGCACTGTCAGTGCACCAAATTTGCAAAAGGGATTTGTTTAAATAACCGAAGGATTGCAAAATTTCGACAACTGGATTGGAAAACAACAGAACTGCATGTAAAATTGTACTGGAAAGAAAGAAATTGAGTTTTGTTAAATCGACTTAAATGCCCAAGTTGATGGGTTTATGTGAAGAAGTCACGCACGGAATGCTATACACGTGGTGCTGTTTTTTTTTCTTAAAACATTAAGGGGCAAGTTCAACACACGCAACTCGCAAACTTTAGGAATAATACATAATAATGTCGAGAGACGAAGGTGTATTTTTAATTAATGGAATTGCGACTAATTTGTTGGTGCGAATCACTGTCGGATCGGCATCAAGATCAAAGCTCTTTTTAGTAACTCCCTATGGGTAATTAAGATCAGAGCTTTCATTAAGTCAATTAATGAACGAAGCAAAGCAAGCAATTTTTAGAACTCAGTCGCCGCATGTGGTCGCCTTTACATCAGGTATAACCGAATTTCCAAATGTCACCATAGTTATTCATCATGGGTCTATTTCCAACCTTCAGCCAATCGTTTTCCTTTTCCAGAAAATTTTCCTAATTTCATTTCGAAAGGGCGCCGGTCTTCATACCCGGAAAGGATATGGTGTTGTTTAACATCATGTAACAAAATGAGCACGTTGTCAGAAACAAATGTAAAAAAAAGGAATTATCAATTCAAGTGTGAATAAACATTTCTGAAAAGAGTTGGAACCTGGAACGTGTCTATCAGTAACGGTTAACATAAATTGATCTTTCGAGAGCTTCATATTTCAACCATCCACATAAATACAGAGATTACACGCCGATTTATAATACAATATTCTTAATTGGATAAATTCTTTCTGATTTATGTACTCATTCGTACATTTGTTAATTATTCTCTACATTTAGTACTAAATAACAGAATAACACATAGGTATATCATTAATTGGAGCCGATTGGAAAAATTATCTGTACATTATTATATGTCAAGTGATACATTTATCAACGAATCGTGGGCCCATGATATTGTTCATTGGACACACTGCCTTTTTTTGAGTCTCGAAAAAAAAATTGTCTCAGATCGACTCGGAAAAAAATTTTGTTATAGAATGTGGCCTGTAGAATCCAAAATTTCAAACAGTTCCAAGATTGGGCTACTAGTTCAAAAGTTACAGCCCTTGAATTTTTTTTCGAAATTGGTTTCTAGTCCATAACTTTTTTTTTTTTTTTTTTTATTTGACATCGGGCTTTAACAGCTAGGTCATATCGCCCATTACATATATATGTTACATTTTAAATACGATTAATTAATTTTGTTATGTACAGAAATTTGATAAGATTGTTGACTGTTGCATGGTCATTGTTGAGGATTTCTTGGATGGAGTTGTTTAATCTACATGTTATTCTTTCCTGTTGAAATGTTTGGCACTCAAGTAAAAGATGTTCTACAGTTAATAAGACGTTGCACTGTTCACACTGTGGCGGGGGTTCTTTTTTTATTAGGTAGGAGTGTGTTAACTGGGTATGACCACTACGAAGCCTCATTACTGCAATGCCTTCGATTTGGTTGGTTTGATGTGCTTCATTCTACGAATTCGTGCTTTATCCTTCGGAGTTTGTTATTATTTAGATTTTTCCATTTGGTATTTTAGTAGAGTGCTCGTCGTCTAGAAATGACTTCCGTGGGGGTTTTGGTGTCACAAGCTGAAATTCACAAAAAATGAAAGGTCATCATATACTGATTCTAAATGTCAAGGCCGTCCAAAATCGGTCCATGCATTAGGGCACAAAACGCGAAAAACGAGTTAAGCACATGTACGGAAAGACGAAAAAATAACGAATTTTTTGGTATATAAATCAAAATTTTCTTTGTACAGTGAAAGTAATAATAAATTATCAAACGTTTTCAATTACATTGGGTCTTACGGAAGAATTAAACTTCAAACGCGATTATCTCAGTTCGATATCCCTAAAAATTTGACAAATTTTGAGCAACTTTTGCGTTTACATCGTATTATTTAATAAATGGAAGCCTATATCAAAAAGTTTTACTCTTAAAAAAAGTTTCGCTCATCGTTTATCTTTACATTGCACTGAGAATTATAATTTTATGTGCAATAGTAACCAAAATATGTAATTAAAAGTAAAACAACGAACTTTTACTCACTTACAAACGAAGCGCTTTCGCTCCGGTGAATACAATCCATCTCTACATTTCCCGTAGCTCCATTTCGCTCTTACTCATAGGTACGTTCTCGACACGGGTATACCAAAGCTTTGCCAATATAATTGATACAGATAATTATTAATTACATAAATCAATGAATGTGAAACTCAAAAAGAGACCAAACCATAATTTTAAGAAACATAAAAAAAATTGTAGATACAGAACATCGCCTTATACTTACAACCCCAGGGTAACTTTTTAAATGTGTCATACTAAATGATATGCACTTAATAACAAAACAATAATACCTAAACTAACACGTAGCAGTAATGTGATTTCTTTTCCTAGGTAAGTGCATTAAAAGAATGACAAATAGAAAAAATTTGATTCCATTTATTTACAACCTTTTCGTCAACTGAGCATTCAGAATCGCCGTGCTCTTAGATGTGATGTCAGTAGAATTTTGCACGATCTTTGGACCATGCTGGGGCATAACTTACCCTTTATACATTCAGTGAGAATTTAGAACAGTTAAATTGTTAGGAATTGGCCGCAATGTGATGAAAATGGGCAAAAGTTCGCTTTTTCTACTAATATAAGTACTATTCATTGTGGGGGGGCAATTTTGGACAGGGTGCCATATTTTGATTTAAAAACACACCCTTAAACAGTGAGTATTCTGTTGGTGGCAACTTATGGCTAACTTTTGTCCATTTTCATCACATTGCGGCCAATTCCTAACAATTTAACTGTTCTAAATTCTCACTGAATGTATAAAGGGTAAGTTATGCCCCAGCATGGTCCAAAGATCGTGCAAAATTCTACTGACATCACATCTAAGAGCACGGCGATTCTGAATGCTCAGTTGACGAAAAGGTTGTAAATAAATGGAATCAAATTTTTTCTATTTGTCATTCTTTTAATGCACTTACCTAGGAAAAGAAATCACATTACTGCTACGTGTTAGTTTAGGGTATTATTGTTTTGTTATTAAGTGCATATCATTTAGTATGACACATTTAAAAAGTTACCTGGGGTTGTAAGTATAAGGCGATGTTCTGTATCTACAATTTTTTTTATGTTTCTTAAAATTATGGTTTGGTCTCTTTTTGAGTTTCACATTCATTGATTTATGTAATTAATAATTATCTGTATCAATTATATTGGCAAAGCTTTGGTATACCCGTGTCGAGAACGTACCTATGAGTAAGAGCGAAATGGAGCTACGGGAAATGTAGAGATGGATTGTATTCACCGGAGCGAAAGCGCTTCGTTTGTAAGTGAGTAAAAAGTTCGTTGTTTTACTTTTAATTACATATTTTGGTTACTATTGCACATAAAATTATAATTCTCAGTGCAATGTAAAGATAAACGATAAGCGAAACTTTTTTTAAGAGTAAAACTTTTTGATATAGGCTTCCGTTTATTAAATAATACGATGTAAACGCAAAAGTTGCTCAAAATTTGTCAAATTTTTAGGGATATCGAACTGAGATAATCGCGTTTGAAGTTTAATTCTTCCGTAAAACCCAATGTAATTGGAAACGTTTGATAATTTATTATTACTTTCACTGTACAAAGAAAATTTTGATTTATATACGAAAAAATTCGTTATTTTTTCTTCTTTCCGTACATGTGCTTAACTCGTTTTTTGCGTTTTGTGCCCTAATGCATGGACCGATTTTGGACGGCCTTGACATTTAGAATCAGTATATGATGACCTTTCATTTTTTGTGAATTTCAGCTTGTGACACCAAAACCCCCACGGAAGTCATAATTTCTGCCACGGAGCACTCTACTATTTAGCTACTTTGACCATAACTTTTGATTGAGAAGTCTGATCGAAAAAGTACGAATTGATTTGGATTCTACGCACCCAAATTAATAAGAAAAAGTGTTTTCCCGAGAAATTTTGGTGTAGTCGATTTTTGGTAAAAAAGGAAGGTTATACACTGCCTTTTTTGAGCCCCGAAAAAAAAATTGTCTTAGATCGACGCGGAAAAAATTTTTCTTATAGAATGTGGCCTGTAGAATCCAAAATTTCAAACAGTTCCAAGATTGGGCTACTAGTTCAAAAGTTACAGCCCTTTGAATTTTTTTTCGAAATTGTTTTCTAGTCTATAACTTTTGATTGAGAAGTCTGATCGAAAAAGTACGAATTGATTTGGATTCTACGCACCCAAATTAATAAGAAAAAGTGTTTTCCCGAGAAGTTTTGGTGTAGTCGATTTTTGGTAAAAAAGGAAGGTTATACACTGCCTTTTTTGAGCCCCGAAAAAAAAATTGTCTCAGATCGACGCGGAAAAAATTTTTCTTATAGAATGTGGCCTGTAGAATCCAAAATTTCAAACAGTTCCAAGATTGGGCTACTAGTTCAAAAGTTACAGCCCTTTGAATTTTTTTTCGAAATTGGTTTCTAGTTTATAACTTTTGATTGAGAAGTCTGATCGAAAAAGTACGAATTGATTTGGATTCTACGCACCCAAATTAATAAGAAAAAGTGTTTTCCCGAGAAGTTTTGGTGTAGTCGATTTTTGGTAAAAAAGGAAGGTTATACACTGCCTTTTTTGAGCTTTGAATTTTTTTTCGAAATTGGTTTCTAGTCTATAACTTTTGATTGAGAAGTCTGATCGAAAAAGTACTAATTGATTTGGATTCTACGCACCCAAATTAATAAGAAAAAGTGTTTTCCCGAGAAATTTTGGTGTAGTCGATTTTTGGTAAAAAAGGAAGGTTATACAC